GGCGGGGATCGAACTCATGCTGAAGTGGCTTTAGTTTCTTAGTGCAGTGCTTTAACCCACTGCACCACCAGGGAGGGCCATGACCTTGCTCTTTTAATTAATGCATCTAAACACTGAAAATAGTTATGCAGTTTCCTCAAGTCCCAGGCTTCAGAGATATGTTATGCTGTATTTTAATTACCTGTATCTAACTGGTTCCAGGTTTAACAGAGATAAGAACCATGAAAGGAATAACTGGTTAAGGGTCTGGAGCAGTGGTATGTTAATGTTGGATTTTCAGTCAGCATGCCCAATCTCCTGTATTTAGAAATGAGAATTTCCTGTTTCTATTGACTTTATAATGCTCACGGCCCTTGCTTCAAAACCTTCAAATGAAAAGACAAATGTCTGTCTTACAAAAGAAAACAGCAGAGAAATTGTTTATGAATTACAATTTGTGTAGTTTTATGATTGATATTCTAATACTCAAAAGATTCGTCAGAATGCAACAGGCAGAAAGATCGATCAAATACAATTTTGTTAGAAAAAAAAAAAAAATTAGCAGCTCCCCTGTCAGGACTGCCCATCGGTGTCTATGCAGGTATCTTTCTCCTTTCCCTAATAAATCTGTCCTTTTAAAATGTTAAAGAAAAAAAAGAAGAAAGAAAAGGAAGTAACAAAATCCAGTTTCATTCACACTGTGGTTATGGTCTTACGGTTTGTGTGCCATTCCCCAAATTCACACTCATGTATCATGGTGTTTGGAGGTGGAGCATCCAGGGTGAGTACTCTCAACTGGGATCAGTGTCTTTACATGAGGGACCCACTGAGAGCTTTGTCGGGTCTACCATGTCACCTTAGTAGCTGCGTATGACGAAATGTGCGCCTTACTCTTGGGGACTTTCAGCATCCAGAAATAAAAGTTGTAGATTTTAAGCCTCCCATTCTATGTCATTTTGTTGTAACAGCATGAAAGACAAGAAAGCAACATATGAAAGGTAAGTTTATTCTTTTCTATTTCAAAATATGGTATTCCAACAATTTCCTTTCCATAAACTGTTTAAAACTGAAGTCAAGCAATGCCATCTACAGGGAACCTTCAGAACAACAGTCATATTTCTTTGATCCACACTGCTCTCTAAATGATTATTTATATAGTCTGGGTTATATTACTTGGCATCATTCAGCAGGAAAAATTTCAAGGAAAAACATATGAATAATTAAGAAGCTATGCGGTGCACAAATTCCTATTAACGATAATTAAAGATAACCTAACTTGGGCCTCCCTGGTGGCCTAGGGCTTAGTAGGTCTCAGAGCTACCACTGTGAAGGCCCACCCACCACGTGGCCTTGTGACTGGGAGGTGACCCACATGGCTCAGCAGACCTCTCCTGTTTCACTTTCTGCTCCCCTCAGCAGTGTATTTCAGTAGATCTGCCTGTTCTCTTGAATCCTCTCACTCCCTATACTTCTGGCCTGCAATCCCAGTTATTCTATACAAAATCTTAAAATAAAGAAAAAAACACCAAAAAAACCAACTTTGCTTAGTTCACTAAAATGATTGATGCTAATATGTTGAGACTCAAAATTAGACAACTTTTTTTTTTTTAAAGATTTATTTATTTGTGCATACAGAACTGGCGTACAGGCCAGAGGCTCAGGGGCGGCAAGAGGCTTCACCAGAGACAGAGTGGGGAGCAGAACAGGCAGATCGACGAAGTACACTGCTGAGGGGCGCAGCGGGCGGGTCAGGAGAGGTCTGCCACACCATGTGGTCACCTCCAGGGCAGGCGGGAATCAAACTCATGCGGAAGTGGCTTTAGATTCTCAGTGCTGTGCTTTAACCCACTGTGCCACCAGGGAGGATCCAAAATTAGACAACTTTAAATTAAAGATCTTTAAAGTTATGTAGAGACTCAAGTCATTGGAGTTTACACTTGTAATAATTTTCTTTTTCTAGCTGTTGAATTCCTTTCCTCTTCAGTAACATCACATTTACTTTCTTCACCAGATTTTGTATTTTCATAGTTCCAAAGGCTGAATCTTTTTATTTTTGAACATGCATAGTAGATTCCACACTAGATTCAAAGCTTCTTTCCTTCCTATGCACTGTAGGCCCAATCTAATCACAGGGTGGTTTACTTTTATTTCTTCTCTCTTTCCTGTTTTCTTTCTTTTTTGAAAATTAAATGCTGTGAGATTTCCTTATTGTAATGGTTCCCAATTTAGGGTAAACTTTAAAACCATCTGGAGGGGCCTCCCTGGTACACAGGGGGTTAAGATAAAGTGCTATGGACTCTATTCCTGGCCAGGGAAGTGATCCACATTACACAGCAGACCTCTCCTGTCTTACCCACTGCTCCCCTCAGAGTGTATTTCAGTCGCTCTGCCTGTTCTGCTCCCCCACATCTCTGGCTTACACCCCCAGCTCTTCTATGCATGAATAAATAAATCTTAAAAAGAATCTGGAACCCTTTAACAAAATTATGATGCCTTTGACTTAATTACTGGATGGGACCTAAACATGTTTTTTGTTTTTTGAATTTTTCAGATAATCCTAACCACAGTGGTTTTCTAATCTTTGAACATAGGAACTTGGTAACTTTAAATTTGTTTTGGCCTTGTTCCACAATAAGGAAAAAACCTACTTGATTTAGAAATTTCTGAACTTCACAGTAACTTAGTTCAATTTCTCAGCAATGAAAGTATGAAGGTGACTTACTAAGTATTAAATCCACTAATAGAGTGAGAATGGGATAAGGAATGAGATGTGAGTTTGGCAATGTTATAGAGGTTGACTTTAGCCAGATTCTTCAGTGAAGGCGGGAGGAAAGGGAAAAGGAATCTGAAAAATCTGGATGGACTACTCTAGTTGGTTAATGTTACTTTTATAAGCTCCATATTATGGAACAAACTACAAAGTGGTCATTTTCTTGGACTTCACTAACAGCCACTGCTATCTATAACAAAGTATCAATTATTTAGATTATATTAATTGATTGGTAAACTGCTTAAAGAAATTCCAAGGTATTATAAACACAGGGTAAGCCTAAGGAAAAGAACTTTATTTAATAATATCTCTAAACAGGGTGCCTTTTGCTCTTTCTGGAAAGCAGTTACTGTTAAGAAATTCATTTTCTTCAAAGCTAGTTCCACAACATTCACAAAATCAGTTTCAAGAAACAATGTTTATTTTTAACACATAAAATGTACCATTGAATATCAATGTCCACTTACTCTTTGGAACTGGTGTGACTGATGTCCTTGACAGATAGGTTTATATGAACAATTCCTATAACAAAACACAGACTACACAGAACAGAAGTCATTTTGAAATACAGACAGAACTATAGATAAAATGATAAAAGATAAAAATGAAGGTCATCAGCCACACAATGCATAAAGTTGGAAAGTGGTGTTTTATTCCCCTTCATTCTCAAATTAAAACAAAATTTCTATTGGTCTGGTCCCTTTTCTTCCTGCCCAGTGCCCTGATTACTTACTTTCATTCTTACCAACTCACTGCAGTGAAATTTACTCTCTAAGTCCGATAGGTATGTAAGGAGAAAATCTTTGGCTGATATGACTACAACAGGATTTTCAGGTTTTTTTTTTTAAAGGAACATTTAATTATGCAATCAGTGCAATGAAAAGTGTAAGACACATGGTAAAAAATTTACTGCATAATTATGTTAAAATGAAAACTTCCTTTCAAATTTTTCTATTTGAAGACAAACTAAAATTTACTGGCTTAACATTATATAGCATAGAGTATCTCTTTATAAACTGGATCAACTTGGCTCTAGTTTTCTGAAAATACTCCAGTCAACCATGCTGGCTCAGTATTTTGGGCAGACTTTAGGCTAGCTTCAATATCTATATTTGAGGAGTGACTGACAGATGTTTCTTTTAAGAACTTGATGCTGGGCTAAGTAAACTAAGTCAATTTCAGATCCTCTGGTGGGGAGTCAGTCATTTTTCATACCGCAGACAGCCTCTGGTGGTTGTCATATATATACTGGATCTCTAGGGACATGCTGGAAAAATCCGTGAACACAATCTTCCCATGCTGAATCAACATGCTCCATTCATATCTTTTGCTTACCCAGGATGTTTACAGCATTGGGTAAGGTGGCTAAAAGATGGAAATTTCATGATGGAAATTTCTATAAGAAGAAGAAGAAAAAAACTTAAAAATAACATCACCAATTAAGTATTTACTTAGGTAATAAGCCTAGTAATGGTTAAAGGTAATTCAAATGTACACCCAGGCATAATGTTCAGAAATGGCTCTGTTGATATCTAAGCACAAGAAAGCAAACAAAAAGCATTTACACTGGACAACATAAAATGAAAAACCTTTGTGCTTCAAAGATCTTAACTATCAAAAAAATGAAAAGATAACCATAGAATTGGGAAAGTATTTGTCAAATCATGTATCTGGTCTAGTATCTAAAATATATAAGGAACTCTTAAAACAACAGTAAAAACGATGACCCAATTTAAGACAATGTATGTCTCTAAAGATATAGAAATAGCTAGTAGGTATCCCAAAAGACACTCAACATCATTAGCATTTATAGAAATGAAAATGAAAAGACACAAAGTGATAGCACTTCCTAGCTATTAAATAGCTATAATCAAATAGATGGAACAATAACATGTTTTGGTGAAAATATGAAGAAACTGGATCTTGCAGACATTGCTGATGAAAATATAAAATGTTAGAAGCTTTGGGATATAGTAAGGCAAGTCCTCCAGAAGTTAAACACAGAGTTCCCACATGACCTAGCATTTTTATTCTAGGTGCATCTCCAAGAGCTTTGAAAATACATTTCACACAAGTTTTTACAACAGAATTAGTCATTATAACAGATAAATAGAATTAAGTAAAATGTCCATCAACTGCTGAATAGATATATGAAAAAAAGAATATCATCCAACTAAAAAAGGAGTGAAATACTGATGTATACGACAACATGAATGAACCCTTAAACACAGGCAGAGTGAAAGCCAGACAGAGGAAAATATATGACTCCATTTCTATGAAATATTCAAAACAGGCACATGCATACAGAGTAAATTGGTGGTTGCAAAGTATCAGCAAAGAGATACTGAGTTTAATTCTAGAAAAATACAAATGTCTAAAATCAGAAAGTGGTGATGGTTGTGCAATTCAAAATATATTAAAAACCACTGAACACTTTAAAAGGGTAAGTTTTATAATATGTGAATTATATCGATTAAAACAATGCTTCTTTGTCCCCCAAATGTAAAACCTTAATGCCTCAAAAACAAAAAACAAGTCTACTTTTAAAGAAAGCTATGTAAAAGCTTCAGTTAAACTAAATCCCTTAAGGCATAAAGAACTTTTTTTAGTTTTATAACTCATGCTATTCACTGCAACATGGATAAAGATGGAAAGGATTATGCTCAGTGAAGTAAGCCAGAAGAATATTGGATGGTTTCGCATATAAGAGGAAGATATGGAAACCAATAAGGGAGCAGGGGGAAAAATACTACCACTGCTAATGAAAAATTAACAAGCAACTATTATTATTAATCAGTGACACTCTGCAGGGGAGGAGGGAAAGGGATCAAAACAGAGAAGGGAAGAACATAGGTAGCTACAGTGATGGTGCACAGATGAACCGGTGATGGGAATTTAGGGGACTATACCTAAGAGGAGAAAGCATACATTGTATAAAAATGAACAATGATGTAAAATGTAAACAAAAAACTTTTTATCTTTTGTATCTTCAGCACCATGCCATAGAAAAAATAGTCTGAATTACTAATCCCACTGCTCCTCTTTATTTACAGTCCAAACATTAGTTGTGATCTCAACAGGTCATTTGCTTTTGGCTAGAATTCATGTTAGTTTCACCTTATCCATGTGGTATGTTCCAGGACATTGAGGGAATGCCTGAAATTGAAATCATGGATAGTATCAAATCCTATATATACCAGGTGTTTTCCTCTACATTACCTATAATAAAATTTATAAATTATAGTAAGAGATAAATGATAACTAAGAAAATAGAACAATTACAACTATAAGTAATAAAAGTTTTATGAATATGCTTTCTCAAAGCATCTTATTGTACATTTTTTCAGTGTGGATGACTGTGGGTAACTGAAACCATGGAAGTGAAACAAGGGATAAAGAAAGACAACTGTAATAAAAAAATTTCATGAACAAATTCAATCAAAACAAAGGTATTGGAGATACAAAAATGGATGAAATACAACTCCCTTTTGCAATGTCAAACTCTAGGCAACCTGCACAAAATGTAATTGTTACAAAAGGTAAAGGAAACAAAAATGGGGGACATGTTCCATTTAACTGCATTTTTTTTAAATCAGACACATTTATTCTGCCTGGTTATACTTTGATTATTAAACGAATAACAGAAACTTAAGTTACTTGAGTGAGATAATGCCTAAATGTAAAGCTATATAATTTATAGTTGGAAAAAAACTTTTACAAAAGAAACCAATCTTATTTTAGAGGAAAAAATGAAGTTAGACAGATTAAGTGACTCTAATACTGAGAATTAACCTGAGTCCACTGAATTATTCTCTATCTTTTTTCCACAACAAAATCAGTATCTGCACCACCCAGAATTTCAGACACTGTCCAGCTAATGAAATCTCCTCAGAGGACTGGAAAGCCAGGAATATACTTACCGATTTTTTCTTTCTGATGTATAAAATATGGATATCTTCACTTTGATACTCTTCATCATGTTTTTCCAAAGGAATTTTTTCAAAGTCAAAGTCTAGTTGAAGGAGCTATAAATTTAAAAGAGATAACTGTCAAATTCAATAATATGAACTATTTTGTGGTTAACAAGTGAGAATAGGGTTTTTATCTTTGCAAAAGCAGTGAGTGGGGAGAGACACGAGCTTTCTGAGCCTAAAAACGTTGGGTAGTGGTTACTTGAGTATATATTACACATGTAATAATGGGTTGAACACTTGCTAGATGTGCATTTTACACACATTTAACTTAATGAATGGGAGATATATGGAACTCTATGTACTGCCTTTAGAACTCTGAGTAATTATTTCAGAATAAAGTTTTTAAAAGCTTTAATAAAAACTGTTAATAGGATATGTTGGTCAAAGTTCTCATAAAAACATAGAATACAGAAGTAAAAACATATCACATATCATGTATCCATGACATATTTTTCAATAGTGGTAATATATCATTAATGTTTCCCAAAAGTGAGCAAAAATGTTTAGTAAGCTAATACTGAATACTTTCTTAGAAAAGAAAAGGGTTTTCTTTTCGGCTTTATAGGTACTATGTCATCTAATTAGAAATTTAGGATCAGAAAAGAAGGAAAAAAGGCAGGGGGATGACTTAGTAGATTGGTGGCCCATAAAGAATATTTTCCACACCCAAAATTACCATAAAGTAATTGAACATGGATTCATATAGCCTCCCTAAAGGGTAATCACTATGAAGACAGATCTAGTAGACTACTCACCTCAAAATATTTTTTCTCAATTTCTGGATTTTTCCCCATTGTTCGTTGTTCATAGCAACATATAATACAAGTCTCAGATCCACTGAGCTCTTTTAGGGTTTTCAGCAATGGCTCCAAAGACTGTTCAAAAAAAATATGTAATTTTTGCTTACGACTTAAAAAGATTCTATTTTTACTATAAAATGGACTAGGGGGATGGAGATGGTAATTATAACCTCTCTATAAATTTTCTTCTAAATGTATTTTTTCTTATTATAGTAATATTGGTTTATAACACCATGTATGACTTAGGGATATAGAGGTATTTCTTTAGAAGTACACTGCAACACCACGTCTACTACCCAGGCATTAATAATCCTTGTCCACAGACAATTAGGCTTCCCTTCCCCATTATTCTCTTACCACCACCCTCCCCACCTAGCAACTTCAATTCTGCAGTCATTTTAGGGTTTGCTTTGATTTGTATATGTCTATCCTTTGTTTTATTTCTTTATATTTCACATATGAAATCATCTAATATTTGTCTTTCTCTTGATTTCACTTTATATACTCATTTCCACTCACATTGTTGCTAATGGCAAGACTTAATCTTTTTTTCCTTCTTCTTCTTAATCTACTTATCTGTCATTGGACATTTGGTTATTTCCATACCTTGGCTAGTATAAGCAGTGCTATGATGAATACATATATCCCTGCCTCTGAATCACCCCAATAATGTAGTTTAAGCTCTGTAACTAAAGATGAGTAAACTTCACTTAACTCATCAATCACTGTACTAATTTCAGTTTCCAGAGACAAGTTTCTAGTATCTGCATTTTTGACTTCTCATGAAACTGAGTTCACTCTTCTTTAATCTAAAAATTTAATCTGGAAATTAAACAACAGTTTACATACAGAAGCACATCTGACTAACCTGAATACAAGTGGCTCAATGCCTATGTGAACAATGGGTGATGCTCAGAAAACCATACAAACATCTTTTAAAAATTCACCCTGCGTCTATTAAATTTTGCCATAGAACAAAAAATTCTTTACAACCCCATTTAATTATCAATGTAACAAGTAAAAAAAATCTTAAGTTTTTCATAACTGATCCAAGTGGCAAAATTTTAAAAATGTTTAAAAGCAGAGTAAAAATGTTTCTCAACATCTTTCACATGAGTGAAATAGAGTCCTCAGTAACCATCTTCTCTGTGTTATCAAGTCTAAGACAAACACCCTACATTCAGAGATTTCAAAATGTAAAGGAATGTGTTCTTTACAATCCATGAAATATGGCTCATCTTCTGAAGGAAGAAACTTCATCACTGAATGCTTACCTCTTCGTAGTATATGCAGTCAGCCATCAGTATGTAGTCTGGCGGAGAAATAAAATCTATTTCTTCTCCCCTTGATAAGGAAAAGTGTTATTGAACAAATAAATAAAATAAAAATCCCGCCAGCTGGGTGCTTTCAGGCCCGGTGCAGTAACATTCCAATGCAGGCATAATTAACACGTTTTCTTATTTGCAAAGATTCATGGCCAGTCTTAATATTCTTAAAAAGATTTCAGAGCATCCCATAGCAGGTCAAATGACTCTGTCTCCTAGAAGTAATTTCTGGAAGGTTGCATCCCCTCCACTGTCGTGGGCTTCCCTTTCTGTGAAAAAAGTTTTACTCTCGACCAATGGTTTTGTCGTTTGTAAAAACAGTATCAATCCGTGTAAGCAATGTTGACACAAATATGTATAAAAGTGGCCCTGTCTTAGGGCTGGGCTCAGGCTTTCCTATCTACTGGGGCTGGGTCCACAATCGAGGTTAAAACTTTACCTGCGCCTCACCATTCCTAAAGATCGCTTGTTTTTTCTATGGCTGGGGTAAATACAGATTTCTGCTACACCCTTGAAAATGTCAACCAAGTATTTTAAATGTTTAATAATCTAAAATTTTCATGTTTTATAAGCAAGACCCGAAAAGTTCCCTTCGTAATAACCATGGTTTTCGTGAAATGCAATTTAAAGCAAACTACAAATCATTATTTTAAAGTAAGCTGAAGGGCCATACAAACCATTTCAGTACCTTGGCTTGAATAGAACCGGTCACAAGATGTTTGTTCATGTTAATATTCATCTTCAATAAGTCTTGCAGTTCCTCAAGATCCGTGACTACAACGTCTGCCCTATAAAATAACGTTGACTGAGGTGTAGGCGAGAGTGGGAAGCCAGAAATTGGGCTTTCCCCAGCAAAGCAGAGCAGTCGCACCAGCTCTTACCCGAGGGTAGCGGCCATTAGTCCCACGGCCCCTGTACCAGAACCAAGCTCCAGCACCGACCGCCGGCTCAGCGCATGGTCCCCGTCACCCGAGAACCCGGGTGTTTCCAGGTATTTAGAAAGGACAATGGCAGCGTCCCAAACAACACAACCCACGCCGCCGGAGGCATACTGCTGCAGACGTAACACTGTGCCATCTCGCTTCTCCAAAACTCGTACAAAGCTCCGCAGAGGGTCCTCCACCGCGGACTCCAGAGTAGCCGCCATCGCGGCCCCGCAACCGGATGCAGACGGCGCTCTGACGTCATATCCACGCCAAAATCCCGTGCCCCTGCCTAGCGAGATGCGGGGTACCACCTAGTGGCGCCGGCCGCCACAGCGCGTACGAGACTCAGGCCCAGCCGGCAGCATAACTTGGGCGCGGCCGGCAGCTTCTTAACGCACTGCCCCTCCTTACTCTCCGGGCTCTGGCTGAGCAAACAGGCATTTTAAATCACATTTTTTTCCCAGCCCAAATTAGTAGTTACAAACTGCTCTGCTCTTTAAATAACAATGTCACTGTCAGGATTTTCACCAGGTTGTAGATTGATTCACACAAGATTACCTGACTTTAAGAAGCGGGGAAGTTTCCAAGATTCTAACAAGAATGCCCACAATCTTAACAAGAGCTCACCTTCATGTAAATGCTTGTTGGATGTTTGCTTGCGTTTCAATAAAACAGCGAAGACAAAGTTATCCCTTTAAATTTCATCACTTAAATACTTTGGGATTGTGTAATTGAAACTACACAAAATATTGAAAATAATGTGTATATTGCTACAGAACTCCCCTCTTAGTTCCTTATAATGAAAACACATTTACACATTTTAAACATTTTTTTTTTAAAAATTAAGATTGGGGTGATTTATTAATCTTGTTAAGAACTCTGATACAAAGCACAGTAAAAGGCCACAGACCAGTAAATAAACAATGTGGCTTTTGGCTACTTTACAAACTGCTGCTACAGCACAATCAATAAAACAGGCTTTTTCATAACTTCGAACAAAGGAGTCCATATGGCAAATAAAAGTTTTACTCAGTCCTCTGATTAAAGTTAAATCAAGCTTGAAGTATTTACTGGTTTAAATATTACCAATCTAAAAAAATTTTTTTTTAATTTTAGTTAACACTAGATTTACAGACAAAGTCACTAGGCTTTGAAGGCAAGGTAGCTGGATCCTATACCATTAAGAAATCTTTCCTCTGAATTTATGAATTAGTAAAGTAGCAGATTGTATTATAGGCCTTGAGTCACTTAAATTTATATAGGTTATTAGCATTATCTTTAAATATACAATATAAACATAACTGTACACACATGGCATATTAACTTTGTTTTCCAAAATAATAGTCAACTCATTAGCTAAATATACCATAGTCTGCAAAAACAAAAGGCACATCTGAATGAGATACATGCCCTTTTAAACTCCATGATTGGGTTAGGTAGTCTTTGTTTACATTTTGAAAAAAAAAAATAAACACAGTGCATTCTAATATGTTCATTCTATTTTTCATTTTTGTCTTCAGCAGCAAGTTCTGGCATTAAGACATGGCATTAAAGAGTTTAAGAACAGTGGGTGTTATTCACAATTCTCCTAAATGTAAAAGCTAGAAAACCTCGAAGATGGTCAAAGAAGTTTAAAAATCAGTAACACCACAATTACCCCCCCACCCCGTATTTGTGTAAATTCATTGCCTTAAAAAGGCATCTGTTAACTCAAATTTGAAAATTTCCACAAATGCACTATCCCCTTTCAGTGCAAACAATATCACTTTAAACCATATTTTACCAGAGTCTACAGTGCAAATATAAATTCTTTATACTGGCCTTTAGGCAGCACTGAGGATCCAAGACAAGGCAACGCTACTGATCACCTGAGGATAATGGTAAAGGACATCTGCATTTTCATTTTTCCAATTTTTAAAAGTTTGATCAGTAGCATTTTTGTAAGCGCATAATTTGTAAAAAGTACTAAAATACTATGCCTTTTTTGAATAAATTAAAAAGAAAAACCTTTACAAATACCATTCCAGTGTCAATGACTACATATGGCTAAGGTCATTGAGGAGTTTCTGCATTTTCTAGCAAAGGTAGTCTGTACAATGGGGGATGCGAAAGCTCCCGTTTGTAAGTCTTTGGTGGCAGTTTTGGTAGATGAGGGCTTGAATTCTGCCTTGGTGGAACAGGGGGAGCTTGAGGATGAGTAAGATTATTATGACTAGAATTGTGTGTATAACATCGACGTGGTACCCTTGGAGAGGGTGTGCTAGGAGGAGTGTTTGGTGAATTTGGACATGTACTAACATCTCTGAGCCAGTCTTGATCTCTATGAGGATGTCCCAGTGGAGGTGGCTGAAGATTAAGTGGATAGTTTATAAAGTGTTCTGGAGGTCGGACGGGAACTGGTGGAGGGGTATCAGGAAGAGGATCTCGTGGAGGCGGTGGAGGTGGACTATGCAGAGACCCATCAAATGCACCAGTAGAAGCAGGAACTCTGGGTTTTACTTTTGGAGGAGGAGGCTGTCTTGGTGGAATAGCAGGGGGATCACCATCAGATTTCATATTTCCCTCAAAAAAAAAAAAGCAATTAAATTATACTTCTGCTTTCTTGAAAGTTTTGTAAAAAGAGTTTCAAAAGACTTCAAAATTCTTATGTGTTAATTTAAATTCAGAGGATCGAAAAACGTTAATTCCTTTTAATTATCACATTTATGAGTAATCAAGTCCAGTTTAATTTTTATATACAATGTTTTAATTTTAATTAGAACTCCCACGTTATCTTGCTTTAAATATACACTTCATAAATGTATGCATCTTAACTACAATAATATGGAAGTGAGTGGAAAGTATATGTAGCTTTGTAGATATGAAAAAACATGCTGTCAAGAAAACTTAGTTTAACGTCTGCTTTCTGGTCATTTCTTTCTCCTTTCCTTTTGTTTTCTCCTTCCTCAGATACAGAATAGTGGTTCTCAAAGTGTGAAAGGAGGACCAGCAGCATCAGTACCACCAAGGTATTGGTTAAAAATGCAAATTTTTGATCCCCATGCCAGACTTATTGTACCAGAATCTCTGCAATCCATTACAGTTTTAACAAGTCTTCTAAGATGACTCTGATGTAGCTTAAAATTTGAGACGCACTCTCAAGAATGAGAGAATACTAATATTCTTTCTACAAGAAAGAAAATATACTTTGGAGAATCTGTGAATGCCCAGTCTTTTTAAGAAAAAAGTACTATGAAAATTAAACAACTATTAAAGGTATTTTCAAATAAAATCAAACGCTTAAAAATCATAGGATAGTCAAAATATAATTGACAGACTCAAGATCAAGCACTATTACAAAGATTCACAACTTTGCATAAGTTGAGGAAACCTAACTCCTGATTAACTACCTTGGAATTTGCAGCATCATAATCAAACTTTTTTCGAGGAGGAAGCGGCGGAGGAATCAGTGGCTCTTCACTTAGTTTATGTAAACTACCACACGAACTGAAGAAAGACTCTGGAGGGGGAAAACAAAGGTTAGCCACAATTAACAATTAGCCACAATTAAGTTTTAAGGTAAAATTTCATTCCAACCCACAGCCACTTTTGCTCCGGCACCTGTCAGACTGTATTACTGCTGGCTGTTAATTTAGCTATCTTCTCCAGTAAGCTATAAGCTTTTTGAAGGCTGTGTATATATTTTTGTGTCCTTAATACCTAGCACAGTCCTTCCTGAAAAGCCTTTTTAAAATCTAAAAAAAAAAGAAAACTTACATATTTGCATAAACTGTAGTAACTTCCACAGAAAGCTCATCCATAACCATAGACCATACATTTTGAAGCACCCACAAAATGCATACATTTCTATACAAGTAATAAAACCTTCATTTAAAATAATATTAAATGGGGTTGTGTCATAGAACTTTCGGTCTGTATCTCAATGATAATGGGCATTCTATAAACACATTATAGTAAATTTACAAAATAATAAAGTATTAGAAAAATTACCTCTAAGCATGCCAAACAGACAGAATAAGAACTATTTTCATTTTGGCTTATTTCTTTTGTTTTTGTTATATGATTAAAAAATATCTACAATTATGGATCAACTCCTCCTTTGGTATCTCTCAGCATATAATAAAGGCAGTAATCATGTCTTGTTTATCATTACTGCTGAGGACTGGATTCACAAAAACTAGTTGGTAAATAAATTGATGAGGTTACTTTTGAATACAGAGTATAAACTGCTATGGAATGTCCAAATAGAGATGTCAAACTCTTCATTCCATATCAAAAACTGCTATCCTGATGTTGTAGTTCCTCAGTCATCCTGGAGCCTTTGTTGGCTGAAAAATGATTACTATTGAAGCAGTTGCTTAAAAATCAGAGACAAAGTCACATTTTGGTAATCATGAAGTTCTCTGATAGCTTGACAATCCCATGGAGCTATTTGTTCTGCTTATTATGAGAAACAGCCTTCTATTTAATTTAAGGTATTGGTATTTATAAGGTATACTTTGCTACAGCCAAGTATATGAAGGTAAAGGGGGAAAAAGGATTAAAAATGTAGGATAATACGTGGAAGAATTTTTATAATTTTTTTCATCATCATACCTCTCCTGCCTAGAATAGTACCTGCAATTTTAAGACAATTAAAAATTATGCACAAATAATTTATGAGTGACTGATCTGTACTTCTAAACAGCAAGAATGAAAGCTAGAAGGTAGTCAAGATTCTCCTGATATATATGTGAAAACAGGAGAAATGCCTTCAGGATAGAGTGAATCTATGCTCAGTGAAACTACTACCAAGTGAATGAGTGCATTTATAGAAATGTAAGAACTTAAATTTTTATATTTTATGTATTACTTCTCAGGTACCTACTGGATGATATACCCCTACCAAAATTAAGGAGCTTATCAAGGAAGAAGAAGGGGTCTAAAAAATAAGGATCCAACACAGGCAGTAAAAGGAATTTTTACAATAACTATGAAAGGAAGTTCTAGGCTAACAGCTAGATCAGAGGCTGGGACAACAACCAGCGCAAACTGAAGCAGGACAAAAGGACATCCTGATAGCTTCTCGCTTTGGTCTGGCCTTGTGGAAAGATGTGCTTTGAAAGGTGTGGGAAGACTGAGCAACAGATGCTTTAAAAAAAAACTAAAAAAAAAAATAACACTTCCTCTGAATGTTCATGATGTTAACTTTAGAAAATAACTGTACAAAAAAGCATCAGCATAGTATACCCTATTTGACTTTACAGCGATAACATTATCTGATA